GGTCCGAGGCCCGGGGGTTGGGGACCGCTGCCATAGAGAACCACAGGCAAAAGAGATAACATACAAATTCCACTCAGAAAAGTCCCAGCTGATCAGGGGATTTGGACCTTCTTGCTTTGAGGAAACAATGCCTACTATTGCACCACTGTGCTGCCTTGTAAGGAACAGCTTTTTATCTTATATGTTATTTTTTTTAATATGCATTGATACATCAACTCTTATAATTGACAGATAGCGTGAAACAGTATCTTCCCTGTTGGATCACTAACATTATTAGCATTTTTATGCCGCATGGAAAGCTAGAACTACGTAGTGAAATATGGAAATAGTTATCAATAATTTATCTGGTAGGTGTATACTGTGTTATTCTCATTAAAAAATATTGCTGCTACAAGCATGCCAAGCATATGCCATATTGTAATCTTGACCCAGGTAATAAGTTTATACAAGTCTTACAGATAACTTTATAGCAGTCTCCAGAGTTTTATCCACACCTTGATCTCTTTATCAAGGTGTGGATAAATCTACAAAGTTACTGAACCACACTGGCTTGTGGAAGAGATGGTTACGACAGGATTCATGTTTGCAGATGAGAGGTTACACATTACCCGCCTGCCTCCAAGGGAATTGTGTTTTTCTTCACCTGTAAAATGAGGGTCCTCAAGGCCAGGAGGCGGCCCTGACTGGCAGCATCGTGGAGGGGTGAGCGGTCTGCCCAAGAGCCTGTGACAGGAATATGAATTCAGTATTCAATCCAGTATTGAAAACTTAAATGTATTATTATTTACTTAATTCTCTCATCGAGAGAAATAAAAATAAAATCAACAGTACAGAGAAAGCTTCAAATATGCATTCTCCTGCCACACATCTAAACATAGCAAGTAGGTGTTTTAACCTCTCAAGTCACGTTTTACCTTTCATCTTCCAAGAGTTAATGCACCCGGCAGCATATGGTTATGTGACTTAACAGCGCTTGAAAATTCCTGATGCATTAAACTCTGCACTATCACACTCCATTCACATGACAAATGAAAGTAAACCTGCCAAACTGGCTGTGGCCGTTCAATAAAAAAAGAAGGAAATCCAGAAAAAAGAAGAAATGTCTTCAGGCACACCTGAGTCAATGTCCAGAATAACAGCTGATGCATTCCACACGTTCTCATCGCCATCATCTTCATCCATCCTTTCATCCATATTCTTTATGAATTATACAATAATCCACCCAATGTTTTCTATTAAATCCATGCTTTTTTATTCATGCACCTTATTTTCCCTGACTGACATTAGAATCTGAAATACAGACAGGACCAGGTAGAGACATCAAACAGATTTCTCAGAACAAGAAAGAGCATCTCTACGGGACCGTGACAAATACCCTGAGCTTGGTCAATTAGTATTCCATGGGGTGGGTACACTTTAGATTAAACAGCCCTTTGGATGATAGCTACAGATTATGTTGTTGTCGTGTCTGTCTTCCCTCAGAATGTGCCTTCGAACCGCCTGTTCCTGAGAATGTGGAGTGTTGTTTTGGTGGCTGTGTGAAAGTGTGCACTGCATAGCTGGGAATGGAAACTAGGGCAGGATGCGGCTGGGGGAGGGGATATCATGACTGCGTTCTATTAATACATTAGAGAGAAAGAGCTGCCGGGCCAACAGTGTCTTCATTTAATATTGAATGTACAGTTCAGGATTTCTTAGTAGCTATTAAGCTAATGAAAGAAAAGTGGGCTATCAATGATATTTCTAGCATGTATTAATGTGAACACAATTAATGGCTTTTATACTCATTGGATTAGCAATGCAGTATTTATAGCTCATTTGTAAACACTGAAATTGTGTGTGTGTGTCTGTGTGCATGGAGGGCTTCTGTAGGATTCTAAAGAAAACATTTACATTTGACCTCTGACCTTTTACAGTTGGGGTTAAATGCATTGCAGGGTGTTTGTAACCATAATTTATTTATATTGTGGTTACATTTAAGCTGTGTTTGCCATCATCGTACAGATATTTTTTTTAGGGGGGAGGTAACAATGTTTAAAACAATAACAATAATAATATTTATATTTATAATTAATGTGCAATAATAACAGTGTGCAATACAAATACACTTATTCTTCTTTTTTATTACTAAGTTATTATACTGTGTTGTGTTGTTTGTGTTGCGTTGTGATGTGTCATATCGTGTCGTGTTGTGTTACATGTAGTGCCGACGTAGGACAGTTTTCCAATTACATTGTACTACTGTACTATGTATGACTGTGCAATGACAATAAAGAGTTATCTTATCTTATATATTACACCTTAAACTGAAAAGGTTTATTAAACAAAGTAACCAAATTAATAAAAAATCAAGTGTTAGTGCTTTTTAAAACGACCTGTCTCAGAGTACTCACTGTGTTGTTGACCATAATCATAGAACTCTGCTGATATCCTGGCAGCCTCTTTGCGGTTCCCACGGACAATGTAGAAGTATGTCAGCAAGTTAAGAGAGATCTTAACAAAAAGCTTAAAGCAGAACAGTGCCAAGATGCTGAGGTAAACATTTGACAACTGGGCTGCGAAGGGCTTGTTGGTGAATTCCTCTGTATGGTCTGACATTTCCTCTGGCACGATACAGAAGAGCTTTGGTTATGATGAACGCAGGATCAGATGCCACTACAAAAAGCATAAGAGTAGCCTGCTTTTTCCTCCCAGTGCACTGACTAGTTGGCTGGTCCTGACAAAGCACGGGCTGGAAAAAATTCTCTGCAGCTGCTACTGTGCCTGATTGCAACAACTGAAATGTAAGTGTACACTATGTTTGGATGTGGGTGGGCTCAAGTTATAAAAACTTACAAACTTGTTTTAATTGCAGAGGTGATGTAATTTCACCAAAAATGTAAGTCGTGGCAGTATTTAATTCATATTTTTCATTAAAATGTCCTTTTGCATGAGTTGAACTAAATATAGTGGCGTAAATTCTGGTTTAGTTTGACTGAACATGTGTTTAAATGTCTTGCAGTCAGTTGAATAAACGATCATTTGAATCTAGATAAAACTGATGTGAATAATTAAACTTCATTTCAACACACACACACACCTAAAATACTTTATGTGCGTTTTAAATAGTTTACATTTTTTGCATGCAAGTTTTTTATCAACCAGCGCTCGTCGTAGTAAACTTTCTTTCGTTTCCAAGGGAACGCCTCTTGATTACAACGCATGCGCGACAAATCTTCACCCTTTTCCGCGAACATCAAAACGCTTGTGCTTCCCCGTGTGGGTGTTTCTCAGCTGACATTTGTTCGTCAAATGAGGGCTTGTCAGGTGTTCATACCCGCTGTGGTCGCTCTCGGATTAATTGTCTCTCCTGTGTTTTGCCAAAATGTGAACTCAAGTGAAATTCGGACTCAGTTAAACGGCTCTGCCGCTGATTTCGGGGCATACAGAAAGCAGTTTCACCGCACGTATGAAGTAAGCAGCGAGGAATTTAGTCGCCGTCATCTCAGTTTTCAGGTATGTAAAGTGAGGGAGGCGTATAATACTTCTTAAGTGCCACACTTAGCAAGTGTGAAGTGCTCAGACGGAAAACTGAAAACAAACTGGGGGAGTACTTCTTGTTAGACCACGCCCACTCACGTAGAAGACGGAAATACGGAAAATAATTTTGGAAAATTTTGTTGAATGTTACATTAAATATAGATATAACTATAAAAAGCATACAAATACTGGCATAAACTGAGATTAAGTGAAAATTGTACTACAACATTGGAACAATAGTAACATGCAATAGTAACAATTCCTAGTAACAGGGAGGTGAACATAAAATTGCAGCTTAATAGCTGAAGTCGTGTGAAATAAAAACAGCTGTGAGTTCAAGAACATTTAATTTAGTCTTTCACTCTTACCTGCTTCCTTATTTCCCAACTGGTCGCCACAGTTTTACACTGTGTATATTGATATGATTAGCAACATATCTTTTATAAGCTGCTTAATATGTTTTAACATCTGTCAGCATGACATGCTTAGAGGTTTTTTTTTGGCTATTATATTAACAATTGTGTGTTTTTTTAGTCAGAGTTGGATAAGAAAAGTTTTGAGAGGTTTCAAATACATAAATGTAGATTATTTTCATTTCCCTTTCTATCAGAAGTATTGAACATCTACATGAACTTATTTTAAAGACCAGAGTTTACTGTTATGTTTTTCTTTCCTTTTAATATCCCATTTAATATCATTGTGCCGTTTCATTTGTGTCATTGCAGAGAGCTACAATACGGCACACCTATCTGAACTCATTTTCCACAGAAACACAATCTGCCAAGTATGGCATCAACCAATTCTCTGACCTTTCACAGGAGGAATTCAGAGGTAGGTTGATATTTTGACATAGAGGTATGTTTAGTGAATCCTTTGGACATTTTATTAATTTATATTTCTGTCCTGCCTTTTGTTAAACTAGGCTGAGTCTGCAGAATCATAGTTTACACTTGTGTTTGTATAAAAAAAGAATGACTTTGAACTGTATCTCTATATCCACAGATCTGTACCTGGGAGCAGTCTATGAGAGAGCTCCTCTCTTCTCTGGACTGAGTGTAAAGGAGCTCCCAGACAAATTTGACTGGAGGGACAAGGCAGCCGTGGCACCAGTCCAGGACCAACAAGCAGTAAGTTTTACACATGGTACTGTAGTTATACTGTACATGTGGGAGGTTAGCTGGAGATGCTTCAGATGCAGAGACATAATTGGACAGATAAAGTCATGCCTTTTCATTATTTATGAATAAAGCAATCAATCAACAAACAGGTACAGAATACCAAATACTACACAGGCTTTGATAATGAACGCAAGTCTTCACCAGTAACACAGTCAAAATTATGATGTAGACACTTGTCAGGTGATTCTTTGCTTTTCACTTTTAAGTAGGTGAAAATTTATGATGCCCTGTGCAAGAGATTTCAGTGCTTCAGTTTTAAGGGTGAATATACATTTAACACTTTTTAAACATTTTTTATTGTAATTTATTATTTTTTTTCCCACCAAAGTGAAAAAAGATGTGAAATTGTAAAATAAAAGCAATTTTAAGTGGTTTAAGCGCCTTGAGGCAACTGTTGTTGTGATTTGATGCTATATAAATAAAATCGAATTGAATTGAATCTAAAAGCAGAGAAGACAAAACGCATCAAATGTTGACATGAGAATGTGTGGCTGGTATTGTAAGTGTAAGAATAACATTTCTTAACAGAAAAAGAATGTAGGGATTTCATCATATACATCTATGTGAGGGACAACTGAGATTTTGTACTGAAGATCATTGCATGGGCTCAGAGAGGACTCTGAAAATCGTCGTCACTGAACCCAGTGGATCCCTTCATCA